ACCTCAGAACCCCGCCGGCAGCTGTCCTTGCGTCCTCGCCTGGTGTCGGCCCCTTGAAGGTTGCGTTCTGCCTGCCTCCGCTGGCTTGTGAGCTTCCTTTATTCTCTTGCCTTCAGGATAGTCCGAGTGCTGTATGTAAACTCAAATCAAGCTTTTAAAGTAGGCAATAAACTAAAAACTTACAAAACTAAAAGTAACCACAGATATAGGGGCTAGAGATATCTAAGAACATAAGCCAACTTTATTGTTGTCCAATCAAAATCCTAGGTATCCTGTCTATTCAGCTATGCGTGCCTACCCGCCTCTTTTCTTCAATCGATCGTTTTCACCTACCAGAGGCACAATTTTGCACCCCCGAGCTCCTGTACACTAAATTAAAGACATTTTTGAACATACTATTTGTGTGAAAGCTGCGCGTTACTGAGTCGCAAACAACATCTCGTTACATGACCCACACCCAAATACACTGTGATGACCGTGGTGGTGGTGGTGGACCCACATAAAAAAAATGTAACCCTCCCGCATCGCTGCGGAGTTAGCATTATTTACACAAACATGCAAGCACAAACGTATTGACTTCAGAGGTCGCCAACTAGTATAAAAACATGCTCATCAACTACCAGCAGGTATCCGAAATCGCTTGGTAGTGTGTGCTTCGTCTCAAAATGCTTGCCTACCTCCTCTTCTTCGCGCTAATCGGCCTCGTGTGGGCTGAGGCAGAAGAACCGTTGGCCCTCAACGCCACCTCCTCCGTGCTTGAGCCCGCCTGTTACTGCCCACGTCCAGCGCCCTGTCAATGCCAGTTATGCAAAAAGTGCTACTGTGCGTGTCCCATCCCCATCTCTCTGGTGCAGGCTGCCCAGTGCCAAGCGCCGTAAGGCAACGGCGGCGGCTATGGCCGACAGGGATAACCGGAGACAGGCGACAGTCCTGCCCTTTTCATCGTCGTCATCTTCTTTTTCCACTGGCTGGTGTCTCTTGCAATAAACTACTACTACTCCGATAGGGGCTTCTTTTTGACTAGGTTGACTTTTTTCCGGGCTCTGGGGTGGAGGGAGAGTGCCTCTTGGGCCACAATGGGAGGGGGAAGGACAAGTGCTGGAAAAGAGACAGGGAGGGGAGTGGGAGTGTCACTTACGCGCATACTGTTATGATGCGCCTGGTACTTGTTATTAGCATGAACGGTTTGTTAGCCAATCGGTACTTAGGGCGCGTACGAGAGAAACGAGAGAAGATGATCGACCACGAGACAGTGCGTATTCACACAAAGCACGTTAGAGCAAGCCGTTCTTACACAAAAACTGAATGTATTTAAGAGGCCGTGAGGGAGCGACATAGTCCGAGACAATGGACCAATCCGAATTGAGCAGACAAAAATGGCCGCCGGGAGGGAGGGAGCTTGCGACGCCTTTCTATAAGCTGATTTATCCTGTGAATGGAGGCATCCTCAGCAACCGCCCTTCAAGT